AGTATTTAACCCTCATTAAACATTCATTATTAAAGCCTTCAAGATTGGTGTAATATATAAAAGAATGAAACTCCATGATTTAAAGGAGCTGCTAAAGATGTAGGAGCTCCACCTCTATCTGTATCATCGTGAAAATAACTATCTATTAACTACAGATTATTTCAATGATTTCGGCAGGGCAGAACGTAAGAACGACCGGCCATAAGTTCATGATGCTATCAAAAGGGTCAAGCCTGGACGTCGATTTTGCAAGGAAATGTGTTGCCGAGACCAGCGTATATACCGAGCTCGGGGCAATATAGATTATCGGAAACTGATCGCGAGTAGCGGGATGGGGCCAAAGATCGCAATCAAGGATATAAAGTGCACTCTTGTTGGTAATTTTCTAATTCCAAGCACTTATTTATACTGTGAAACTGACCAAACGCCTCAGATAAAGTGGAGATTACCCACTACAGAGTGAAGATATCAACGCTGATAAAAGCGGGTAACAGCCACAATGCAAAATTTTGCGCAAAGTCGCGCTTCGAAATTCTCAAACATATGCAATCATGTTTCAATAATTTTTTTTCTGTTTTGTCTCATTCCATACCTTACAGAATAAAAAACTTGAGCTATGCTGTGCGGAAATTAAGAATAATCATTCAAGTTTTGCAATGGCAAAAATAAATTTAAGATACAAACTGACACTGAACGTACTCGTCTTGGAACACGTTAGATATGCTGCAACTCATGACAGGCCTACTAAAATGCTATATAAATATGGACAATGTTTAGTACTAAATAAAACAGTTGGAAGATTGGAAGATAAATACCTTTTTACACATTGTGGCTTGATTCACACCAGACTGCCGGGCACGTGCCAAGCTTACGTGGGGGACCGAAAAAACCGGACTGATTCCTTCAACAATTTATATATATATTCAAAATCTTCTTTTCGAATTTGCTGGAGTGAACTTCAAGTCAATTGGGAAAGTTCCGCAAGTTACATCAATACTTCTACGTCGATTTTCAGGGGTTATGTCACTAATTTTCACATTTCCTTCAGTGCGGTAAGTGGAAGGGCAACTGGAGCGAAGTTTATAGTCAATTGATATTTTTTCTTTTTTTTTGAAGCGGGAAAACCACTCAAAAACTTGCGTTTTCCCCATAGCATCGTCCTTGTAGGCCGTCTGCGGCATTTCCATTTCAGTTTTTCACATAAGGCAAAAATTTGATGGCTGCACGTTGTTCACAAAAATCAGCCACCGTAAAAAAAAAAAAACGAGCGCGCAAATGAAGTGCCACATAAAAGTTTGCAATAATTCAACACGGTCTTCTATAGCGCTGCGATGCGTAGCACACTAACTGATTAATGTCAGTAGCATAGCACATACAAGGTGAATGTGGTACTACCAAAACTTCGCCCACCACACAGGCAGTCCGTTTTTTGGGGGGTCGTACCTCGTATGTAAGATACGGTCGGTTATACCTGTCCGGTCATTCACAGTTCAGTCCGGTCACGGGCCGTCCTCACTTTAGTCGCTTTCGTATCACGTGCCATGCCAGTCACGCAGCGTTGCCAACTGCAATGTTTTAATATGGTGTCTGGTATGGATATATTTGATATAGTATAGGTACTTGCTAAATCTGGTATATTTCAGGTATGTTGAGCAGGCAATCTGGTATAAACGAACAAAAAGAGATACTGTAGTTGGCACGCTGCAGTCACGTCGCGGTGTATGTAGGTATTACACAGCTGCATGGTGTGAATGCTTCTATAGAAATACATTAACAAATATTGTCCTGGATCGTAACCGCCACGTGCCCGGTAATATGGTGAAAATCAAGCCAATTTCTGCAGCACAAAATGAATCACTGCGCATGCACTCCTCACACAAGGACACTACTTGAACTGATATCGAACTTAACGAGGCTGAGAACTTGCTCGGCTACTCCACACATTCGAACGAAATATAATCCGGTGTATACTCGAAGAAAAACTTCATACTTGTGTTTGTGGGAAATTTGTGAAGGTGACTCTAGAGCTAAGAATCACGCCAGCGTCAGAGAGTTCATGTAGAGATGACAGGGGTCGTGCGCTGGCACGACAAGATCGAATGGCCGCACTGCCGAGTGAATTATGTCTTACGTGATAAGAACCTTAAGAATATTTATGACCAGAATCTTAGTCATAAAAAATGTAACTCAGTACTCACTGCAGTGAGTGACAGAGAGTGCATTTTCTCGTCGACGAAAACTTGAGGTCACAGACGGACAGACAGACAGACGGACGGACATGACGAGCACAATAGCGCCTTTTTTCCATAAATGAGAGAATGCACTAAAAAGAATGAAGAAGTGGTTGGAACCTTGAAATTTTTTGAGGTAAGGTCTAATTCGAAACAAAAATTCAACAGTTATTAGACAGCAAAATTTTACAACGCTATAATCGTGCCGAGTTCAGATACAGTATTATATGTGCAGTCAGAAAAGGGTAATATACAGCAATAGATTTGAAGTTGCTTGATGTCGAGTTCGATTATTTCTACCAGTTTTGCCAACGCGCAAATTGCACAAATAATTTGTTGGTAACGAAGTTGGATAGTTAAAATTATGCTATAACATCCTCCATTTCTACATAATCTACCTCCACACGGGAATAAAACTTCCACCACCCGAAAAAAGTTAGTCACCGACTTGGTTTCTGCAGTACTAAAAGTCAGCTGATCAAAGAATCGTGTGTACGAGACGTCGCAACACGAAAAACTGTGGCATAAAATCAGAAGTTTTGTCCGGAGTTTATGAATAACTTCATCAGAATGAGTAGCTAGACACATCGGACAAGACGAATACGACCATAAAGTAGCAAAGATTACGTCTTCCAGCCACAGCAATTCCTCGACTCGGAATAATATCTTTAGCCGCAACAATAAAATATTAAGGTAGCCGTGGCGAACTGCTGCAGCAAAAACTCGAAAATGTCGAAACTTTCGACGCAAGTGGGAAAGAATAATTCCCTGCAAGAAACAAGGACCGGGGGAAAAAACACCTGATCTCGGAGCTCTTGGCCGTTAAGTTCGCACGTGAAGTAATAAAGAAAGTTTCATTAGAAGAAAGCATAAGGACAGAAAGAGCCATAAAATCTAGCGATTTGTTAAATAAATGTTTCGAAACTCTGAAACCTGCATCTTCAAAGACATAGGCTTTTATAGTGTAAGTATGAGGATTCATAAATTTTGTTCAATATGAATAGGTAAAATGAAATGCGTGCATCCATTTAAAATATTTGCGATGTCAAGTTGCTGGCTATTCTGTTAACCATGGTCTGAAATGAATCCTAGAAATAAATTTCAATCGATAGGAACTATTTAAAATTTTGATCCGCCGCCGAACTAAACCACAGAAACTATTTATCAAATCATGTGCACAAGTTTTGCGATACATACACACGTACAACGAACAAAATAAAACATAAATTGAAGATAAATGGAGTGTTGTCATTGATAGAACAAGTTGGTTTGCCAGAAAGGAAAAATAAAGAGCAATATCGATGGAAGAACACTGCAAGGAGGAGACGTTCGCGAAGAAGAAACGCTATCCTGAGAGGTAGATTTTCCCCTCAGTTTGCTTAATCGCCTAATCTGGCTTTCTAATGCAAACCGATTTATTGGGAGGCGGCAGTTCACAGAATAGAGATACTCAAAAATGACACTGAAAAACGAGCCCATCGAGAAGTTCCAGTGAATGCATTTAGCCCGCACATCAATGAGAGGTTACTTATTGATAAGAAATACAATCTAGAATGATAAAATTAAGCTTTCATCATACACCATCCTCGGATAATTATGCATCAAGCACATGCAGAAGTGCTTTTCATGAAGTTAAAAAAACTCGATCTGACTTATACACAATTAAGTTCGCTAAACACTAATTAAGCCCTTATTATAAGAAACAGTAAACAGACGAATAAATACTAATCATGATATATATGGTTACAGAGGAAAAAATACCATCACTTGTGTTGGAAAACGAGAAATGCACTGTCCCATTATTCTACGAAGAAAATAATCTAAGGCAAAGAAAAAAAAAACATAATTTTTGGATGGAAGCAGCCGAGCAAGGTTGACCTGACAGGGGGAGGCAAATTAAGAGAGCTGCATTAATAAAGGCACAGAAGGAGCTTGTGATCGATGGCCTGCTACGCTGTGGGCCGTGGACGACAAGGCCCACATAAGACGGATGATGAGCGATGAGCAGATCAGGCCTCCTCACAGGCAACGGTCACAATAACGCTTATAATTTCTAATACGCGTTATACATGAGTGAGTAACCGTGTAGAGAGAGAAGGATATTTGTTCGTTAACAGATACCCAGTGTTAATTATGACAGGTGGATACAAGACCTCTTATTGTTTAAAATCTGAAATATAATTGCAATACGAACTTTGAAGATCAAGTACATTTGAAGTTATCTTTCCTATAATATGCAGTTCCCCAATATTTAGATGATTCGGAAGGATTGCATCATCGACAATATCGATTAATGAATTATGCCTCGATATCATTTGGAGAAATGTTAATAATAATTTTCATTGTTGTGTCAAACGCACAAAACAGTCCAACCAACCTTACGATGATAAATATAAACTTTAACGATCCAACTTCCATAGAAACGATAGGTAATAAAAAAACGTACAATTTAATTCAAACTTAGATCGCATAGATAAATTTCACGGTAAAACTAAACAAATAGATTTTCCGATACTCGACGACTATTAATCACAAAAATAACGCGTCATTAAATTTGGATATATTGCTTGACAAAGTTTTCTCCATTACCAAATTGCATCAAATATTAGCTTCGTGACGAACTAAACAGAGCCCGCTTGCTCCTAGCCGGGACTGACCCGCAGCTGGCATTAAAAGTCCGACAATAAACAGAGACTTGGCCATTAATTCTCAGAAGAAGTTGTTTGCGAGCGACAGAGATGTAGAATTGAAAACGGCTGACAGACTTACCCTGGAATAGCTGCAGGAAGACCAGCAGCATCAGCTGCTGAACATTTCTTGTTCTCATCTTCAAGCCGGCGGTGGTGACTCTAACGGACGCAGCGTTTAGGTGTAGCCAAGTCCTCAACGAGGAATATCTTGCCTTGACCTGCACTGAAAAATATAGGACAGAATTAAATAACATTAATCACTAACCAACTCATTCTATCTACACCAACAACAGGAATAAAAAAGATTGACATGCAGATGAACATGGGACCAATAGAATTTAAAGTTCCCCGCACTCGAAGGTGACCTGTTAATTTGTCACTTGAAAGATGTGTACAATGCAAATGTTATGAATTAAGGATAAACATCTTCTACGCAATTCACAATCTTGCAGGAAACATCAGAAATTATTAATTAATCAGAATATCCTAATGGAGCGCCCTTGCAAATTAAATGTTTCGAATAAAATAATCTGGCATGCGCTGAGGAGCAAAAGCTTGGTTCGTTGTGCTGGCCTCGTTAGTTGGTCAGGACGTTGCATCACGGATTGAGAAGCGACTATTTCTTGAGTTTGCCCAAGGAGACTTCAGAAAAGAAGGGCATCTTTTACCGAAAAAAGCCTCATAAGCAAACAAAGTTGCTCAAGGATTTTGCAGGAAGGTAATTAGCAGCAAGCCGTGAGAAGAAGAGTAGGCGTTAAGTTAAACCATCTAAAAAACTTGCAACAAACATCGTTAGTGTCGAGATAAGCAATCGCAAAACTAAAAGACAAAAACAAGGTTATCAAGAAAAAAAAAATCGCGTATTTCGGAATGTACATTCAACTACATGCGACGACAGAATTCAAAATAATACAGTTGAACTATTAAACGACATACGGGGGCATGCATTAATTCGAATTATGCCAACTATTCGAAGTAGCGCTAAATTTTCGAAAGAAACGTTGCGCGCCACACTGTTGTGTCAATATATAGTCACCAGAAAACCATTCAATTCTCAAAATAATATAAAATACTTTTTTAAGAAATAAATCTGATTATCACTTTTTCAAGACAACGTACCTAAGTCATCTGATAAGGAAATATATTCGTCGGTTTATAGCAGTAACACAAGTATACGGGATATAACAGCGGGCAACAATAAACGCAAAATTGTGTCACGGCAGGACAATTGAAAAACAGTACAATATTCTCACGGCAGTGCCGACATAGAATAACTAAGAAAATCCGTACTAATGGCCCATAGTTCGGCCATCGTCACAGGATTCACGAGTGCTATCCACTTCCATCACATTTGGCGCGAGCGCCGCTCATCAGATACTCATCTTAATCCGTGGCCTCAGGAGACGTGGCTTTTGATGTGCCCTGAGAGCAAGAATGTGAGAGGCGCGTTTAGCCTCCTGATAACGAGGCTTTATGAGCACCCAGTTGCTCTATCGCATCCATTGTAAGCTACTGCCGTTACTGAGCTTGAGTCCTACCGCCAGCATCGCAATCTGGGACGAACAGTGCATCCAGGCCTATAGGCAGCCTGTGCAACCCATGGACGTAATGCAGAGAGTTGAAAGTTTCAGCAGTTACTGCTTATATTGCGCTCCGTGCGATGGAATAGGCTTTCCTAACTGAATGCATTGAAATAGAAGCAGACTTTAAATGAGCTTTGGGTAACCTGATTTAGAAGTATTATGCGTTAAAGAAGAACTGCCGTAAAGATTCAACGTGTTGCCGTTCGAGAGCCTTGCAAATATAGAGGAAAAAATCACCTACAGTACAGCCTTTATAAACTTTAAATTTATGTCCAGCTTCAATCGACGATCGCCTCGAGACTTGAAACACACTTCAATTCGTAAGAAAACGTGAATGCGTGGCTTACGAAAGATAAAGCAAATGAAGAATAAAAAGTTACTTCATGACCATTTTAGATAGTTTTCTGATGGCGCAAAAGCAAAGGAAAACAAACGCAATGAAAAACGATGATGTTTAGGGTTGAAAAAAAATATATATATATAAATTTCTGGATCCAAAAGCATTTCCTTCAAATGGGAATTCTCAAAAGAATGTCGTTCTCAAAAGAATTTCCGTTACAGATCATTCACAGAGTTGTTAGCTCTCGCATATTGTATATGGGATGCGCAGGCGAGCCAGCGCGGGAAAGACATCACGTTATTCCCTGATTAATTCATCCCTTATAATAAGTATTAATATAACGCTTTGACGGCACAAGTAACGAAGTGTTTTATTTCTTCAGTGAATTTTAATGCCCCGAATTATGCATTTAAATTTATACTATAATTATGTAATTTAATCCAAGCTTATTTTAAGAGGCGGCATATGAAATTTCCAACACATAATTAGAAAAAAACGACTATTCCATCATTGAATAAAAAAAACGACTGTTCTATCAATGAATCAAAACTATAACTCGCAATATTAAATGCACGATAGATAGAGGAAGTAACAATCATTACTGCAAACCTATTCGTTCCCTCGAATAGACCGTAAACGGGAAAAATTTACAAATGATTCGGAGGAACGTTAAACTGGAGGACCGAAACAATTATAGGAATGCAGCAGTGCAGTGAAGGCTTGGATGTCAGGAAGGCATTCCACAGCAGTTGCAGGACCGAGCAAGATCTCGTAGAGCAAATACGACAGCACGATCAAGGAGATGCTCTTCGTTAGCATTATTTACACGAACGAGTCGTTACTTTCAAGAGAACAAAGATGTGCGCGCATGCAACCTGAACCAAAGCAGGTAGACCACATCTAAAATCTACTGTACGAAAGATGACATGTGGCAGCACACGCAGCTCCTTAAAACCATTTTCGTTCCACGAATTTTTATGATGCATGATAGACCCACTCGATCTCGTCCCTCACACTTGAAACGAACTTGCTATTTTTCGACCTCATCCATTGTATCTTGCACACGAAATAGGGGAGGCCCAGTCGCCGGCCTAGTTCCTTGCACCCGAAAAGTAGTAGGCTTCACTCGATCGCTCCCCTAAGTTTGGATGGCCTCATTCCAATCTGACGGGGATCTGCTTTGAAGCCATTAATCAGGAGCAGCGGATGTGAAATATTGCGTCTGGTAGACACCACACTCCGCAATAATTAGGGGGGAGAACATGCGAACTAACATAAAACAACATCGACAAGAAAGCTCACGTACGAGAAGGATTCCGACAAACCCCATTTATTTGAAGCCTCTGGGGAGCTCAGCTGCGCCGCGTTGCTGACAGCATAAGTAGCGTTCTTTAGACGCCTTCAAATTAAACTCCCAAGCTAAACTTCAGGAACAATTTATGGAAAAAGGGGCAATACAATGACCATAAGAGACCTATCAAATAACACTACGTAACCGTACCGTCACAGATTTCTTGACGGGTTAAAAGAATGAGAATGACCTATCAACCAGCAATCCGTACGAAATCCTAACAGATTTATTGACTGTAACCGAGTTTCAGCGTTAGTTAGAATTTTTAATTGCCGAGATTTTAGTTTTCGCTCTATAGCTGCTCAATATGAGCAACAGTAGAATAATTATTGTTCATTTGGTCGCACGGTAAATTCTAATGAATTCCGAGACGTTTTATTCGCATGAATGCAAGGACTGACATGATCAGTCTTTGTATGTTCTCGCATCGCCCTATGTAATGCTTTCAATTTAAACCACAATGGTACATTCAACCAAAAACTATTGCCTAATTGAATTATTCAGTCAAATAATAATGGATAGCGTTAATAGTATAAGCTTAACAAAAATTAGAGTATCGACAGCAAGTAGAACGATGGATTAATTAAAGCTAAGTCTCAATTTACAAACGACTATGGTAAAGGCCAGACATCCACCCAGCATAAAGCATATGCAATGTATGCGCTCTCTGAACTCGGCATCAGAAGTGATGGCACTAACCAACAGAGCGCCAGCAGGCACACTAGAACAGCAAGAACAACCCCCTTGTCTCAGCACAAGCCGTGTATGGAGGCCGGCATTTGCATCGGAGAGACGTCACAGCTTCCAACAAAAGCGACACAACTGCACTTCTTCCGTCTCGGTATCCATGCGTAGCTCCTCAAGAATCCCTGAATTGCATCATTTGAGGTTTTTGACGTGTAACTATTGTGTTCAAATTTTCTTTTCACATCTCTCAAGATTTTGTCTTAGGTTGACCGTAACTATAAGCTAGAAAATTGCTTGAAGGAAATAAGATGTTGATAATAACATTAGCAGTACAAACGATAACAAATTTTGAAGATGTACAATTAATGCCTATGCTGAAAAAAATTAATGCCTATAATTCAAAATGAAAAAATTATATAATAATAATAATTTAAACTCAAAATATAATTAATGCCTATAATTCAAAACTCCGCAAATAATCGAATTTCGCACCCAAGTTCCGCGATAAGGCATGAGACAGCAGTATGTCGACGATCAGCTATAAAATATAGAACCTCCCATAACAAATTATCCTGCCAAACAAATTGATTTGATATAACAAAATAAAAATAAAAATAAAAAATACAAATAAAATAAAATAACAACCCCATAATAATTTATCCTTCATTTCCATTGATACACCATAATTGAAGTTGTTTATACATGTTTTACAGGTTTATTACGAATACCTTTGTGGCGCTCCTAGCAAGTTAGTATCTAATATCGTTCAAACGAAGCTCCTGATAAGGCCACTTTACCTTGATTGCTATCTTTTCATAAATAATGCAAGTTTAATTTGACATCAAATATTCGAACAGCAATCAAAGCGAGCTACTGCCTATAAACTTTGGGTGAAATTAAGAGATTGCGGAATGATGGAATTCAACGAATTAAAATGAAATAAGTATGAAGTAATCCTCATATGCAGTAGCTACTTATTTCACAAGTTACGAAAATGATCACTACCGGAAATTCACGGAGAATGTTGAGGAGGCGCTAAATTACCGGAGAAAAATTAAAGATGTAGAGATAAAATTAGGAAAATAAATAATCAGTTCGTAAAAAATAAAAACAGCAATCCAGAAATAAATTTTCGTCATACCATGCTCGGCAGGGCTTATCATTAGGCGCCTCACATGGAAACGCAATTGCAGAGAGACAGATTTTGTGACTTCAGCAGCCCATGAGGCCTTCAGGCTGTCGACGTCTGCTTACGTTTACTC